TTTTTGTTCCAGGATTTTTGTCAGTATAACGAGATGTCGTTATATAGCAGTGTCGTTATATCGAGACGCACTTGTATCCCCAAGAGTTTAACAAGCAGTTACGATCTATGATCTGCAGCAAAATAGTTGGGTGAACACAAATTTAAGTCACGTAAAAGGGTCAAAAAAGCCTCAACACGTGACTGTAAGGAGGTCCGACTGTATTTGGTATCCGAGATTAATTACGTTTTCGATGAAGGCGAAATTATTGGTAAAGATGTCCTAATGGTACGCTGAGCCCGGTATTTAATGGAATTAAGCGATTAAATAAAGGCGAAAGACGTCTAAAAATTACTTGTGACAATGCAGGTGGACAGAATAAAAATAACGCAAGTAGATGTCCAACAGTTAGCCTTCAGATCCTGAAGTGAGATATGAATATGAGAGGTTAGAAAGAATAGCATCTCAAACTTTCCTATAGTTTAGTAATACAGTTAAATAAAGCTGAATACCATTAACATTGATAAAACTATACATTATAACAACAGTAATAACAATAGACATAGCAATACAGTAATTATAAATAATATAGCCGGCCGATAAAACCGGGCGGCCACACAACACCTTTAGTTTTCATAAAAAATCAAACCTATTATGCAAATGATTTACTTCCGTGATATTAAACCGTAAACATACTTTACTGTTCACGTAAAACTGCTTGTTGCATGTCATATAAATCAATAACAAAGTTGTCACCAACAACCGTATGGGGTACCCCTACAGCATAACTTTGACGTTCGGAGCTTCATCAATAATGGGAGGGTTCCAGAAAGCATTCGAGACAGGAATGGTTACTTTAAACGCATCAAGATTCGGGGCATTACAGCCAGTAGGAGTAGATGTATTATGATAGATTGTTCCGCATTCTTTTGCAAAATTTACTTTAACCTTGATATCCGATTATAAAAATACAACAGTATATCAAACTTACCTCTTTGACATATACACAATTTCCCCTTAAGGCTGCGTTTGAGGATAGTACGCTACCTGGCAGTGCTCGACGCACCCACAATCTAGCCTAGTAGAAAGTAAAAAATATTCTTAAGCCGAAACGTCGGATAATAACAAGTGCGAAGCATAAGGATCGGTTGATGAACAGTTGTCCTTATAATTGTTTTAGGATAAATTTTGATCCAAACACACAACGAACGTATTCCATAAACTGACGCTTTGAGCATTATCCTGTGTAATGTGTGTTGTTGGAAAATCCCTTAAAATATTAATGTCATAATAAAATATTACGACGTACTCTTTTATCACCGCGTGGAAAGTCAGGATACGGAGCTGCTGGTTGAACAAGATTATCGTTTGGTCGAACTGCAATGTCTGGCGCTATTTTGCCCCCACGGCCAACTGGATTGTAGTGAACTATTGGAGAGAATTTGAGTTGCAAGCCAAAAAACAACAACAAAACAAGCAATTCTCTTACATGGTTGATGAAAAACTGCTATCGGACCGAGTATCACACCGTTATTTGGCTTATGAAAGCATTGAGAAAGCACCGCTACAACAGCTTCATGTTCTGCATTTGCCATTTCAACTACGTATGCTTTTCTGTCATTCAAATAAAATTTGTATCCACATGCCTCGTTGCGATCGAAGAAAGTATTATACTCTTTCACCGAAATCTTCTTTCCCATCTGAAATGGTAAACTGAAAACCATACAAGTCAACCAATTGCATGAATCATCTATATTCGGGCGCGAGGAACTTTTATTCACAGCTTATATTCGGGTATTATATCACCAAAAACTTTTATTGCCGTGAACAAAGTGTTTGGCATCGTTTTTTCTTCTGCTATCTCTGGCGACATTCCGGAATCGAATAATGCTGGTAGGCCTTTATTCGCCAATGACCATATGAAAGAGATCGAGTTCCACCTAATAAAATCCAGCGTTTATCGTCAAATGGATTTAGCCCCATTTTATTCACTCGTTCCAAGTATATTTGTATTTGGCGATCATAACTGCGTTCTTAACTATTACATTATTGTCCAGACTCCTTAATTATGGCAAGAAAATTATCTTTTGATACCTGTTTTTCTGCGTTACTATAGATTTAACCTTTTTTCTTTAAAGCAGCCCAGATATTTTCAATCGGGTTGAGGTCTGGGCTGTATGAAGCTTTTGAGCATCGCGGATAAACGCCCCGTTCAGGAAGACGATCTTTCAAGTCACCCTGAACATCACGTGAGGTATGTTTTGGGTCATTATCTTGTTGGAAAACTTATTTGTTATTACCATATAACGCATCCGCATTATCATATAAGTGATGTTCAAGATTTCTCGGTACAAGTGACGATCAAGGTTTTCCACATTCCGACTTTTCCTCTGATGCTGATCGCTCCCCAAAAATGCACTTTCAATGAGTGCTTTACCATAGGCGCAACAGGATTTTATTACGTGACCATGCTAACAGAGTATTACGAAACAACTGAATATCAGAAAAAACGACTTTTTTCCAATTACACAGTGAACCTGGATATAGCGATGCTTTTTTTTTATGTCCCAAATTCTGTCTAGTAAAATTTCCTGGATATAACGAATCTCTCGATATAACGAAGAAAAGTGTCTGCACGGTCTCCTTACATGCGAGCGAAGGGGGTTTACGAAGTAGTGTAGTTGATGTTTTTCACTTTTGCTGAGACTCCAAAACTATCTGTTGAACCTCGTATAGGTCGATAGTAAAGTTGGTATTCATGACTGCAGGAGGAGGTGGTGCTAATGGAACATACGCAATTTTAGGAACCGGCGGATCGAAAAAGACATCGGCGACGGGGATCGTTATTAAATAGTTTGGGTCGTTCGGGCCATTACAACCATTAGGGCCAATAGGAGACCCGTCTTTTTTCACGGTTCCAAACTTCCACTGTTATATATAAAATGCAC